TGGCCGCTGGCCCCTGGCCGCTAGTGAGTCACTGCCCCAGCCCCTGACCCTCACACAAGGCAAGTGACAAAGACCTGCCTTTCCTGGGACCCCTCCCGAGGCACTAAGAGCAGCACATACCCAGCAGCCCACGTGCCAGCTTTCAAACCTGGCTTTGTCGCCGCGCAGCTGTGCAGCCTCATCGACCTAGACCAACTCCTTTGGTTTCACTTTCTCTGTAAAAAGGGAACAGTAACGGTACGAACTTTTTGTCACTGATCTGAGAATGAAGGCAGTGATATTCAAAGTCCTTAGAAAGTTCTGGCACACAGAATGGGTTATGCAAGTGCTTGTTAAATAAATAATACATTTGCAAATGTGAGTTCTACAGAGGGGAAAACAGAGATTCAAGGTTAACAGTTCGGCAGAAGGACAGTGGTTAAGGAAAGATTGTGCTACCATCCCATGGAAGATTCTGGGCCGTTTACAATGAGAAATGCGATGCACACCACGCAGTTATGCTGTTACTGAACAGAAAAGGAATGTCCTGCTAACCAGGCTCACTCAGCCAACTTTTCGTGGGAGGGTCACAGAGTAAATCTTTCGGGCTTTGCAAGCCACGTGGTTTCTGTCACAGCCACTCCAATCTGTAGTTGCCATGCGAGAACACTCACAGATAATCGCAAATGAATGAGCATGGCTGTGTCCCAGGAGAACTTTATTTATAAAAGCAGTTAGCACTGAGCTAGTGGGCCACCGTTTGCCCATCCCTGCGATGCTAATTATGCAAAAACTGTAAAAAAGAGGACAAGGGGCCCGATGGTGGAGCAGCAGTAAAACACAATGTTCCACCAGGCAGTCTCATGTGGAAAGGTTCCTGGTTCAAGTCCAGAGACCTGCCCAAGTACTCCAGGGACACACGTGCCCAGGATCCGGGCTGGTGGAGACTTACTGCAGAGCTTCAGCAGCTCAGAACACCGCTGGGAGTGCTAGCTCTGTCTCTCTCATTTACAGAAGAAAGAGAGAAACTTTATTTATTTATTATTATTATTTTAATTTGCTATAGGGTGCATGTACTAACCAGAGAGGAAGACAGGAAGAGGGAAAGTGAAAAAACAGCCCCCAGAGGGGTGGCCATGTTGCAATCTCTTCTCCATTCTCCTCTCAGGGTTTTGGACACACACGCACATGTACACGCAAGCGGCGTGTTTTCAAGCCCCTGGGTCCAGGACTCGAACTGTGCTGTCACCCATGTGGGATTCAGCTACCTTAACTGCTCCATCACTGGCTAGTTCAATGAGTAAATTTTAGAATAAACACAAAGATTTTTAAAGACAGGGAAAAACTAGTTTTCTTAAGAGAGCAGTAGAACTATCAGTATATTTAACTTTTTTTTTTTAATGAAGGCCTTTAAGGTTATAGTCTAATAAAAAATTAAAAGATGCCACGGCCCCATCAGATGTTCAGAGTAAGTTACAGTGTGTATTACGTCTAGCGCTCACGAGCCTGTACAGGAAAGGGCAACTTTGAAATACTGCAGCCTGGGACAGGACCTGGCCTCTCCATCTGCCAGTGGTGCGACTCGGGCAAGTTTACAACCCCCCTCTTCCTCGGTTTTCTCCTCTGTGAAAGGAGGGTACAATGGTACCTGGAGTACAGGAAGAGCCTGGGGCCCAGGAGGGCCTCAGTACAGGGAAGCCGCATTTCAGTCCCGCCAATCAGCTGACTCGGGTCCAGGCAGCACTAGGAACCAGGTTGACCAGAAAGCCCAGCACACTTCACTTCCAGTGAGGGCAAACATCCTCCCTTAAACAGCACCCTGGCTATGGCAGGGACAGGCTGAGGACAGGCAGAGCCCTTTCAAGTGGGAATTCTCAAAGCGAACTCCTAGGGAGACCAACGCCCTGCAGGGCCTGGGCCCTTGGCTGGCAGAGCCATGCCCGGCTCTAAGCACCCAGCACCAGACGGCTTCTCTGTGCTTCCTGGGAAAGGTGCTGGTTTTGCAGGAGGCAACGAGACCAGGGTCCTCTCTCAGAAGAAACGAGCATCCTTATAAGGGCTCGGGGTGTAGGGATTCTCTGACCTAAACCCTACAGGACCTCACGACCCCCACCCAAGAAAGCCCTCAATGGTTAATTAGACAGCCCAAGTCTTCCTCTGTCCATCCTGCGGTCTCACCTCCCAGTCGTACCTCCCCCACTGCCCTCCTCCCCTATGAGTGCAGGACCTTCCCATGGTTCCCTGCCCACACCGTGAGACGTCTCCCTTTTGCTTATGCTGGTTGCCCTTTTTTCGGCCTGGCTACTACATTCACCCATCAACTCTGGCATCACTGCCTTCAGGAAGCCCTCCAGGATGGGGGGCGGGGGGGCAGGTATTGGACTGGGCACAAGCATTGCTAAGGACAAACCAGGTATTAGGTTCTGGATTTGGTATTTGTACACATCAGCTCAGTGAGTCCTCCCACCCACTATTAAATAGAAACAATTAGCTTTCTATTCTTTTTCAATGTTTGGTTTTCTTTTGATTAACTTCCTTTTATAGATAAGAAGTTAAGGTGAGGTTCAGAGTGGTTTAGGAACACACCCAAGGTCGCACAGTAAGTAATCCCGCTGCCTTGTTCTCCCCAGCAATCCCTTAGCTGAGCCCGAGGTTTTAAATCACCTTTATTCTGAGGCCACGCAGTGATGGCCCTGGAGCTCTCAGAAGCCCTACAGGGCTCCCATGAGACATCCTGGAGCCTTCGCTTCCCTGGAGTCCAAGGTTGGTCATTAATAGGCTGTACAGAGTATAATTAGTACATGCCCGTCCTGCCAGGGCTCTGAGACGCCAGGTTTACGACACGTCCGTGTGAAGTCAAGGGCATCCGGTTCTTGCTCCTCTGCTCTCTGTGGGTCCCCACATGCCGAGGCTGCAGGGGGCTGAGAGATTCTTGTAGACTCTGGGGGCCCTTCTGAATCCCCCTGACCCCGACCTCAGCACCGGGGCAGCTGGCACCCCAGTCCCAGGGAGAAGCTGTCCCTGGGACTCTAGCAGGCCGCTTCGGCGGAGGCGGCTTCTTCCTCACTCCTGCAGGGCCCGTTGTCCGGGCTGAGCTCCGGCAGCGGAGCACAATGTCCCACTGTGGCTGCGGGGTTGGAAGCTGACCAAGCACCTCTCGATGTCCCCGCGAATCTCCCTGGCAACTGCTGCAGGGCAGCCAGCTGCGAGTTGGGAGCCCTCCCCGTGGAGGGATCTGGGTGCGCCCCAGCCGTCCCGAGCAGAGCCCACAGTCCCTCTGGCTGCTGTCACAGCTCCGGGTGTGACACCTGGCTGGAGGAGAGGGGCAGGCAGTATATGAGCTGGCCTCGGTACTCCCGGCAGAGGGGTGGGCAGACGCACTCGGCCTCCCACACCACAGAAAAACGCCGTCCGACTCCCACGCTGCTTTCTCCGTCCTCTCAGACAGAGAGGCTTTGGGGGGCTTCTCTGAAGGGACTGACGGTCCACTTTGCATGAGAGGCACATGCCAAGTCAGCCACAACAGCAGCAGGGACGTCAACCCCC